AGCCCTCCTGCTTGCCTTTGACAGCAGCAAGAACAACAACAAATATTAAATGCCGCAGCAATTACATGCAACACAGGCCGCAAAGTCCGACTCTGCAGTCAGCTGCATGCAGCTCTTCTAATATTACAGAAAGTACAAATTTAATTAGCTAGTATTCCATTCGGTGCACTCGCTCAGGCTACAAGGCTAGGGGCCTCAAGTCACTTGCCAGCTGGTCATGTTGTGTGTGCAACAAGGCGAAAGTTTCAATTATTATATGCAACAGCCTGCACTCTTTGCAACTGCCGCCTGCACTTTGTGCTAGCTGCCAGTTGCCATTTGGTAGCTGCCAGTTTGCCGGTTGGCTGTTGGTAGTTAGTCAGGTTAACGTTCTTTCTGCACTTGGCCAATAAAATGTTGAGTACATTTATAATTTGTGGACACTGCCAGTCGCACAAGCTGACACTCTTCAGTCTGTTGGTCTGTCGTCAAGTTCATTAAATTTTTCATGGCCATGTACTTTAATTAATTTTCGCAACAGTCGTCGCTGTCTTTGTCGCTGCCACTGTGACTCGTTGGTATGTGCGCTATTTTGATATGATAACTGGATCATAATCAGCGTATAATCTTTATAGACAGAACCGGCAGAATGAACCGGCTAATCGGCAAAAATTGACGCACATGCAATCAAACGCCCACAAAGCATAAAACACACGAAAACTATTGACTATTGCGATTGACATTTACATATAAAGTTATCGCAAAAATGGAATTCACAAGGAATGCAGCGTGAGAATAGCGAGCACGACGTGGCAGATACCCACTATTTTACTGTGTCACTTTTAAGACCTAGAAGCCATAAGGAGATTTTCGTTTTCTATTGAAGGCAGGTAATTACCATGCATCAAGCTCTGATTTTTTCAAAATTATCTTTCCAAAACTGCGTTTTACCATGTCATTTAGTTTAAATACAATATGTTTAGTAAATGAGTAATTACATCTTTAATTTGCAGAGCTTAACTTTGATAGTTGCTGAGTGCGGATTAAAGAGAATCCAAATGAACTATAAAAAAAGATGAATAAAATATCTTTCAAATATGTAGACTCTATCTTTAGTTATTTTCAAGAATCATGAGCTCACCCCGGCGAATGCTTGAACATTTCATATTTTGAGAATCAAACATAAAATACAACAACGTTTGGCCAACCCCTTGAACAACTAGTTAGCGTGCAGGGTATCAAAAACTGTGTGAAACCGCCAGCAGGAGCCAAATGATTGCCATTGCCAGTGGCTGCTGCTGTGGTAGTTGCTGCTGCTGCTGAGGGTGTTGCTGCTCTTGCTGTTGTTGTTGATTTTGTTGTTGCCCTTCAACAGTATTCAATAAGCTTGTTTATGGCTTAGACAGCAGACACGCAGTGCAACTAATATTGAATACGCGTTTTAATTGAATTTCACGCGCGTTCATAAACTCGACGCGTGCCCCAGCTCTGGTTAGTTTTATGGCTCAGCCAACCAGCAACAATTGCGATTTCTATTTCTAACTCCATTTCTATTTCTGTTTCTATTTCTGTTTCACATGGCTGCACTGGCTCGACTCTTGTCGAGCATCCGCGTCAAATCAGCCCACAAAACCAAGCCACATCCATCCACATCTAACCACGTTTCCATTCACATCCATTCAGATTGAGAGCGTGTTTAATTGCGCGCACTTCTTGTTATTGCAATCGTAAAATCTTTTGTTATTGCCGCACAACAATTTGTCCGGACTCGGACGCGGACGCGGACCCGTACCCTAACCACCCATCGACTCGCCCAGTTGCATTCAAGTATATACAAATAATAATAACAACAGTGACATCAGTGCGTATACGTAATGCTTGTTGTAAAAATAATTATCGGAAATTATATTACCGCGTAGTTCATTAGGAATTATTACCAAATACACACGTTTGTTATCTTCCCCAATCCCTTGCCCACCCATTGTCTAATTATATTAGGCATTTTTAATTACACGCTGATAGCCATCGGCAACATATCAAAGTGCCTATCAGGAGCCAAGGAAAATAATAATCAAAATTAATACTGCAATGCGGGCATTCGATTGTTAAGGCTGGAAAATTCTTGATTTATACTGCAATAAATTAAATAAGTTTCTGTAGAACTGCAAGTTATCAATATTTAATTAAGCTCTTATCTTTAAGAACTTGTGAATCACAATGGATTTTTTAATTTTATTTTTGCTATAAATCATGTTTTGAACGAAGCAAATACATACTATAGCCTGCCGATACAGCTAGAACTATTAGTCTATAAAATGTATAATCTTCAAAGGCTTGTGAATCCCAAATCACTGCTAATTATTGTTGCGAATACGGAAATAGGTTATCTTACAATCAAAAATCAGGAAAACCATAAAATAAATAATATTGGCATTAAATTTTTGGGGCTGATAAAGGCGAAAAAATCTCAATACATTAAATATTCTGATTTTAATGGGCATGCTATAAATTTAAGAATTCTGGCTTATCAAAATTTGTCTAATTTACGGTCTTGGAAAGTTTTGGATGCATAGTCATTGGGAATTCCGTGCTAAGGTTTTAGAAATACACAAGTTGTACCAATTTAACATGACATGAATTTACTATACGAATTTTATCACAGCTTGACGCCATGAGAATCGCAGAGAAGGGCGACTGACATGCGTATGAGTAATACATATAAAACAAGCACAGCTGGGGCTCGCTACTATTCGGCACTTTTGAATTTACAACCCATATGTGCCATATATTATAACAGATTTATATTTAATCATGCAGTAAATTCCGTAAATTTCTATAAAATCTTATCTTCCAAGAGCTTGTAATTCCCCACATGCCACTGTCCACTGAAGTGTTTCTACGAGTAGCTATGGGGAATACTACTACATGCTGAAAATTAATTATCGCCCACAAAGTTGGACATATTATCACAGAATACTAGAACAAATCGCATGTTACTCACAGCAGTTGTTTTAATTATGGTACTTAAAATAGGTATTGATAAAAAATGGTCGCAAATGAATAGTAAACAGCTTATCAAAGGTGAGGATCACTTGGAAGTGACCCCATGACAGGCTGACTCATGAATGACATCGACTGTTATTGCAAGCGCTTATGGCCAAAAACAAAACACATGCTGTTGGCCCACTCAGCCACCAATTACACTACGAGCAGTAGTTAAGGCACGGTCTGACGCTCAGTTGTTGGCCGCTTAGTGCCCTGATGTCTGACAATCCATCAGGAGTTAACTCAACGTAACTCAATGTCGAGCAGGCGATGGTGCATTTGCCACGACTTCATTTCCGCTGACAGCTCTTGAAAATGGCTGCCTGGGGCGCCCGCTGCAGTTGCTGCCCCACTCGTTATGCAGCTGCAGCTGCATCTGAAACTTCAACTGCCAACTGCAGCGCGTTTAGTATGCAGTGCAGTCGGAAGGCGTGGCATTTGCTTTTAAGTAAATAATATTAATCATACGCCCGGTGGTGCCACGAGCTAGCAAAAGCTCCGACATGCATCAAACAACGAGGGCGCTGAAATTGGAAAATTGAAAATGCATTGCAAGCGACGGCAGCTGCGGACAAATGGGATGGAGGGGGATTGAAAAATAATACTGACATCGCGCGAAAATGGAAATGAATTACGCTTAATTCAGCAGTCGGAAGGGAGAATGGAAATTTTTATGCGCATTTCTGTCGCTCTTTATGAGCGACGCATTATGTCAAGTGCCTCGTTGTCTATCTTAGCTTATTGTTTAATTTCCCCGAATTTGATTTTGCAATTAGCTGGAGTTAGCGTTCGTTTTGCTTGTTCCAACGAAATCGTCCGCAAATTGTCGGGAATTGCAGAGTCTATTGTTATTCGAATATATATTTTCTACCTATCCAGACAGTTCTCTGACACTTCTGTATAGATAAGATGTTCGGCATTTGTGAATCGAAACGGAAACATTTCGAGTGCTTAGTCAGCCACTCGAGAGGGTTCACCCACGGTGTTTCAGTTATTCGTTGCGCAATGCTTAATGCCTGATAAATGTATCGAATGGCTTAGTTCGATAACAAAAACAAGGCATTCAAAGATAAAATGGTATTTAAATTAAATCAATTGAAATTGATGGAAAGTCCAACGATCTAGCCAATTAATGCGCTGCGCTTCGCTGGTGGATACCCTTTTTAAAATATTTTAGCTTACAAAATTCGTTTGCTCTTAAAAAAGAAAAGGGATACCTGTAGATATAGCCCGGAAAGCACATGAAAGATTCCATAAAAATTAAGTTCGTTTACTCTTCGACAAAAGGAAGGGATAGCTTTAAAAACAGCTCATTAGAGCTTTCAAAGGCCAGCTGGTAAGTCAAGCTCTTCAACCTTAACTGCGTAAAAGTTTTAAAAAGGGAAACAGCTTTGAAAGCACATGAAAGCATTCATTAAAATAGGACAGTTGCATCATTGAGCTATTCATCTAAGGTGCGTTAACTTAAAAAAAGTTTGTTAAATCTGCGAAAAATAGAAGAGATAACTATGAAATGAGCTTTGAAAGCACCTCAAAGCTATACTTCAAAATGAGCTTTGGACTCTAAGTAAGATCAACTTTAACTTAATTGTAAATCAAAGCTTAAGTGCGCTTTAGAAGCTCATGTTCGCATATTTAAATTGTAAACTAACATATCGTAATCGTAAAGCTAAAAATAACCGATACATTCACACATAAATCTTATCTTCAATTATGCAGAAGTTTTTCTGTAAGGGTTTCATTTTGATAACAGTTTCTTTTAGTTTAAATATAACTAATCAATACATATGAGGCCCAAAAATATAAGCTATCATTGGTGTAGGGTAATTTGATGTTTATATCATATCAGCTTATCATAACTTAAAGGCCAAAGCCTTTGGCATATTTCATTCGCTTTTGACATTCAACACATTTGCCGCCTATAAAAACGTGGGTACCTTTAGTTGCCACCAAAGTCTGCAGCGAACGACAACGCGGTAAACGTGTGGCACATCAAAAAAAACAAAAAAAAAAAAAATACTAAAATGTTTTCGTTTACCTTGCTTGCCTGTATGGCTATCGCTGTCTGTGCCACGCCCAGTCAAAGATTGGGTGAATCGAAGCTTTTGCAGGCCATTCGCAGTACCAGCGAGCTGCAGCAGGACAACCCGACACGTTCCCTGGAATGCTTCCAGTATTACAGCGAGATCTTCGATCAGCTACTACAGCAATACGAACAGGAGTTCCAGGCCTGCCAGAATACATCGCAGCTCCAGATCTCGCTGGCGGATGAGAGCTTTAAGCCTGTCCTGAGCTCTTTGAACAACAGTGCGGCGAACGCCTGCGAATTAATAGATAATTGTAATAATCAATTGGATAGCTTGACAAGTCTGGCCTGCTACTCAGGGGTGGTAAGTGGATCAAAATTGTTTATAATTTAATTTGTAATAAACTTTACGTTTGTATTTATATTTGATTAATAGGGCACCAGCGATGCCAAAATCATGTACAACATTTCGAACACAGCCAGCCAATATTACGGCCAGCTTCAGCAGCGCATTCAAATGATTCAGTTCACAGAGGAACAGTGCATGAGTGAATCGAAGCGCAACTATGAGCTGAGCACGGATCAGGCTTATGTCAATCTACAAGGTTGCCTGATGGGCAATGAACCAGTGCCGATAAAAACCACAACAACAACGACCACAACTGATACGACTAGTTCAGTTCCAGTTCGAAAAACAACTACACCAATTCCAGTTACAAGTACCTCAGCACCAGCTGAGACTACATCAGTTCCAGTGAAAACCACACCAGAACCAGTTCCAGAACCGACTACTTCGGTTCCAGTTACGCGTACCTCAGTTCCAGTTAAGACAACATCAGTTCCAGTTACAACTACACCAGAACCAGCTACAAGTTCCTCAGCTCCAATTAAAACAACTCGATTCCCGCGAAGGACCACAAAAGCTCCTGGTAAAAGACCAAAGACTACATCTGCTCCTGTTACGTTCACTACGGCTTTAACTACGGCTACGCCCACAACTTCTGCCGCACCTGGTTACCAGCCGAGCCTGAGCTCTGAGCTGAAAAAGGTGCTGCATTCTCTGCTACACTAGACAACATGGTTTATGTAGCAGCGCCCTGCATTAAAATAGGTAACAAACTGGCAAACATTGGCTATCATTGGGTCTGAAAGAGGGCCGCAAACTTTTGTAATCTCGTTTGGGCGGGGGATCCCCACAGCAAAGAGACAGTAAAAGGAAAAGTAAAGAAAAAGCAATTTTATGGAAATGTTGACCAAATATTGACATAGGCCAAGCCCAGCCGACAACTTCAATGGCAAACTTAACTAAACCAATTGCAACTCCGCAAGTATAACTTACATAATTAACGCTTGTCGATATAAACTAGTTGGTATGCCGATGACTGACTGACTAGCAGATGCCCTGTACACAGTCTTAGTGTAGAATTAATTATTTTAAAATAACTAAATTGTTGAATTGAATTGTAAGGAAAATTGCTGTGATGGCTATTGTTATTTGGTGAATGAGCACACGAAATAGTGAAAGTTACAAATAAAAAGGTTGGTATATCTAAAAAAATAAAAAAGATTTTCTGATAAAATATTGATTGATTAAGAATATATGCAGACGTCTGTTCCTAGGAGTTACACATTTCGTAATAAAAATATTTGGTATATGTATCGCATGCTGTTGACTTTGGTTTCAAGTATTGTCTGTAAATATTTCAATTGCCTGCATATGCTGTTCATAGTTGATTATGCCACACTTTTAGCCAACCTGAGAGTATAGGGTATTAAATATACGCTAAGATGTTGCATATCCTTTGACAAAGTATTCGAACTTGCCGCTGCCCTTGAAGGTTTAGCACAGTTTCGAGCTAGGATCAGCTTTGGCCCGGACTAAATAAATGAAATTCCAATTGGCTGGCTTTAAGTCCGAGCATTTTACAGTTAATTAAACAGTTGCTTTCTTTTGGACCAGCGGTGTTTTTCATTTAAATTTAATTGCGTTTGCGTTTGCTTTGGCTTTGGCTGTTGATTGTTGTTGCCTGCGGCATTGTTGTCACTGCAATTAAAACAAATTAGAAATGTAGGCACACACACTCAAACACACACACCTGCCCACGCGCACACACAAACATTAGCCCTAAAAATCAGGCAATAGCTGTCGCCAGGGCCGCGTGTCCTTGCCACAGGATGCAGCCAGCAGCTGATTTAAAGCGTTGCTTAGTTGCAAATTTTCTGGGTGTGTGTGGAGGTGTGCGTGCGTGTGTGTGTGAAATGTTAATGCAGTTCGAGTTCTGTTTGCCTGGCTCGTTGAAAATGGTTGCGCACAAAGAACGCAATTAAGATATGCAAATTAGCAGCTGCCACGCCCCTCGCTTTGTGCGCAGCAGCAGCAGCCGCTGCAGGTGAGAAGATTTGGCAGCACTTGCGATAAATATGCTCATGCAAACAAAACCTTGAAGACAAATAAAATAATTAAAAAAGCATTCTAGAACTTGCAGTTTTCTTTTAGGTATAGAAAAGCTATGCATCCTACGAGAGCTGCTTCTCCCAGTGAGTTCTAAGTCGCATAACTGATCAAAACAGATTTGAAGAGCTTCAAAACAATACAGCAAAAAATATATAATTGAGAAACAGCCAAGTCTTAGGCGATGATAAAGGTGTTATCATGAAATCTAGAATTAATGCGATGTCTGCATAACAAGGCTTAACAAGGCCAGCTTCGAACCTGTCTTAGCCTGGCAGAACAACCCAATCTTAAATGAAACCAGCTGCACATAAGTTAACCAAATTAAAAGTATAACGAGAAAGAGAGGCAATCTTCGACACGCCAAGGACTTTTTACCCTTTTTGCAGATATTTGAGAACAGTGAAGCTCGTGAATGCTAACTTTGCTGAAAATATCTTGGAAAACAGAATATATGGGTCGTATATGTCTCCCTCTATGCTTTACACATTTCATGACAAAATTATAATATGCTCTGTATGGGTAAAAATAAAATGGTTTAAGCACCAAAGTATAAACAAACGTTGCGTTTATATGCTAACGTTGCGTTTTGTTATATGCGAACTTTAAACATAGTTTAAATGTTGCCTTCAACCTGAGCGTAAAAATATGAACGACTTTGCTGTAAAGCAAACTTGAACCGATTCATTAAAATTTTAAAAAATATGTGAATAACTACAGCTTGAAACAAATCTAGAGTTCACGCTTGTATATAACTAGCTAGAATTTTAGGGAATAGAATTTTACTGGTTCGAATCTTCAATCGAAGTCTTAACAATTCTTGATAAGATTGGCGGAATAATTTTGTGCAAGAGTATTTAGTAGCAGAGAGCCAACAATTACTTCTACAATATTCTTTCTATATACTTGATTGATTTGAACCTGTGACCTGCTGCATGGAAGCCACAAAGTGATTGAAGTGGTTTATACGATTACGAGTAAGCCATTAAGTGGTTATCAAAACTGGCATAAACTAACCTCACCTAATGTGTATGCTGTCTGAAAAGCGATTGTACATTGTGTACAAAACCCTTCAGGGCACTTAAGAATTAAGTCAAAACTGCACACTTATCTAATACCCAGAAATAAATGCCATGCGCATAAAGGAAATATAAAAATAAAAATAGCTAGCTCATACGTATTTGCAATTTATATTGACCTTGTTGAAAACCAATTAAGTTAAATGAATCACAAACGCGATGACCATCGATTTATAACTTATTCTAAATTATTTTTTATTTATTGTTTTTATTGTTTTGGCACTGCACGTGGCATGATAAGCGACTGAAGACGACACGCACCGAGATTAGATTCGTGTAGGGTTTAATGGGTTAAGTACAACGAGCAACGACCAACTATCATGATAATGTAAAGCATAAGTTAAAAAGTAAATAAAATAAAACAAACAGATATTCAAGTATTTGGCTAGACATTTTTGTGGGCATGTAATGGGAATATCAACCAGGAATTTTCAGCATAATAATAAATATTTGTATTTAACCAATAGTGAGCTTATCTCGGAGTATGGTTGGCTGACCAGCTGATAAGGGAGCTGACCAATGGCAGACTGCAACAGATATGGAATCAAGCAAAGCCAGTATTAAGTGGGCAACTAAAAGTTTTTTAATTGCTATTTATTTCTCAAATGAAAAATTAATAATACAAATATGTGTATTGAATAAACACTTGATAGATTGATTTATGATAAATGCTTAAAATAGCAAAGCTTCAATCTATCAAAGGCGAGACAGCGCTAGATATAGTACTATATATAGAAGAGGTTCAGGATGTGACACTTGCCAAACCTGAGATTATACTGAAATATCATGGTCTAGCAGACCCAGATATGATATTGTTTTCTGAGAAACTCTAAGATTTGTACAAACTGTTCGGGTTTGTATAAATATTTATTTACTTGCAGTGCCATGTTCTTTAGGGGTTTATAAAGATTCCCAAGATTGCTGTGACGCGATCGGGGAGTAGTCGGCAACTGTTTAATTGTTTCATTGGAAATGTTTTTCACCAAGCTAGCCAAATGATAAGAATGATAATGCCAGCCGCTAGCATTGATAAGGTGATAGCTCAAGTGATAGAGCCAAATCTAAAGTAATAACACAGCCATAATATGACAAGTACATATATACAATACGTATAGTACACCATCCGATTTTATGTATGGCAACACTTGAGCGGCGGGCCTATAAATATTGAAGTCGCCTTTCCATTACCACAATAACGAGTCCGACGTTCGCAGTAAACGAATCAAAAACAGTGTTAAGCAAAAAAAAAAAAAAACGAAGTGTTAACAATTCACAAAATGTATGCCAAAGTGTGTGTATTGCTTTTGGCCATTGGCCTGAGCCAGGCGCTGCCCAAGTCGCTGTTGCCCGATGTTGGCCTAATGCAGTTTATGATGAAATCCCGCGATCTTAGCCAAGATAATCCCGCACGCTCGCTGTCCTGCTTCGACACTTATCTGCCCTTACTGAACGACATATCCCAGGATTTCCAGAAAGCCTACGCCCAGTGCCTGGCGACGGCTGACGCATCTCGCCTGGGCATCGATGACAACACCAAGGATGATCGCAACCAGATCGATTCTGAAGCGACCTCTGCCTGCGAGGCTCTCACGACGTGCAGTCAAAGCACAGCAGCCATTGACTACTTTGAGTGCTACTCGCAAGCCGTAAGTTGAATGCACTCTTCAATTCAAATGGATTACTTCACTTGGCCCATTTCAATTTACAGGGCAGCGACAATACCAAGGTCATGTACACGATCTCGGCCAACTCGGCGGAGCTGTTGGCTCAGGTGCGCGAGGAGTACCGTCTGATTGATATTGTCCAGTATGAATGCACCAACAAATCGGAGCGCGCCTATGTTGAGAATACGGCGGCCACCTATGAAAACTTGGATAGGTGTCTGGCGGGTCTTGAGCCATTGACAACCACATCTGCTCCCACTACTGCTCCCACAGCTGCTCCCACAACTGCTCCAGCTGAATCGACTCCAGGACCAACCACAGCTGCTCCAGCTGAATCGACTCCAGGACCAACCACAGCTGCTCCAGCTGAATCGACTCCAGGACCAACCACAGCTGCTCCAGCTGAATCGACTCCAGGACCAACCACAGCTGCTCCAGCTGAATCGACTCCAGGACCAACCACAGCTGCTCCAGCTGAATCGACACCAGGACCAACCACAGCTGGCGGTTTACCCGAGGAGGATTTGTCCAGCTTGTCTGAGCAACAGAACAAGCTGAAGCAGATGATGGATGAAATGAAGAAATGGTTCAACCGCCATTAAGCGAGCATTTAGAATAGGTCAAGTGCGCAACAGTATAAATATCAGTACTTAACAACTTAAATACATATATTATTTATAAAGACAACTTGACTTTTTCTATGGCCAAATCATCCTAACTATAAAGCTCACAAATTCCGCCTTTAATTGTTCAATATTTTATATGGCTTCAATAAAGTTTCAACAATTAGAACGGAAAAAATATATGATATATTTATTGTAGATAATTAATTGGTATGATTATAAATCATTTCCTACAAATAAATCTGAATCTAAATTTGATATACGCACAGCCCAATCTGGAATTATTTTAATTTTTACTGTAGTGTGGAAAAATTAAATCAAAGTCATTTTCAAAGCTCTTTTCTAAAATGTATATAAGGGTACTTTCACACGGAGACAGTCTCAGTCCGTGGAATAAATGGAAATGTGGGTCAAAAATTACCAGGGATTTTTATGAAAATTCGTTTCAGACTTGTGAAAATTTACTTGATACCTCTTTCGTGAATCCATTCAACTTGAATGGATACGTCTTGACTTCAACACTGAACACCATGGGAATAAAATGGGACGTAAATCATGATTCTTTATTCGCAGGATTTTAAACTCGTTTTTAAATATTTTATTAAATATATTATTGACGTATTTAAATATTCACACTTTCAATTGGACCGGTTATGGCCGGGCATCACCAGGTGGTTTCATATATCCATCTAGCCATGTCCGTCTGTCTGTCTGTCCGTCCGTCCGTCCGTCCGTCCGTATGCATGAACGCAAGGATCTCAGAACCTATAAGAGCTAGAGACTGAAATTTTAGATGTAGATGCTCCTAGCTCCCGCGCAGATCGAGTTTGTTTCCGATAATCGATAACTTACTCCGTTTCCAAGCAATCGATAAAAATCGATATAGATATCCTGTTTTTTGGGCAATTTTGGTAAATAATAAGAGCTAGAGTCACCAAACTTGATATATAGCTTCTAAAATAGAATATATATATTCATTTGATGTTGGAAGAAGGGGGATTCACGGTATACCCTAGTCGGGAGCTCCCGACTAGAACCTCTTGCTTGTTTATATCAATAAATGAAAAAACAACTTTAAATTATGCTGCAGATTGGAATTGTCTAGTCTATAGAAAACGCGCAACATTTTACTTAATTTACTTTCTTTCGCTTTAACTCATTCCATGATAAAAGTACTAGGTATTTGATCGAGAATGCTCGACTACAAAATCCCCTGTCCCCCTTACTTAATATAATATGTAAACATTAAGCAGCACGCCTTGAATTCTTCAAAATAAAGCACATAAAATAAAGCACAATATAAATTTTAGAATGAATATATTAAAGCGGCTTCTTCCGGCTGCGGCATGCTATTCAAAATTTCATGTTCAATAACTCCTACGATTGCTGCATGTTTTTCATGAATATGTGTACATAGCAAATTTCCAGGCTGTTGCTTCTACTTTTTTTGTATTGCGGGGAGAATGGATGGAGGTATCCAAGAAGTGATACATTCTTAAACTGTGTATATCATACAAGAGTCTTCAATTAAAATTTGATTAAGTTAGCTTTTTGAGTTTTTGGGTTATACCTAATAAAACAAGTCTCAACTTGTTTCGCGCATGGCATACATATATTGAATTACAAGTGTCCAGCTCTGTTTCTGAGATGTACGCGTTTATACCGGAACAAAAGCGGACAGTAAGACATGGCTAAATTGACTAAGCAGGAATATATACATATATACTGTATGGGGTCGGACATGCTTTCAACTGCATGTAGCATATATTTGCTTAGACTATTAAACTCTTTTATACCTATTTTAAATGGGCACAGGGTATAATCATTTTATTAAATTTCATTATGACTGTTGATTTATGCCAAATACAGTTCCATTTCCATTCGTTATCACATTCATTAATTTATATACTTAGCTGAATTTTACGTAAAGCAACCCAAAATGCCTTGATAGCCAGCATTTTGTGAATTGCTCACACTTAACATAAATAGTGACTACAGTGTTAACCCGACAGCTGGAACAGTTGCGCACTTGCCAGTAAGCTTTATCTGATGCCTGCTGGTTAAAACGTGTTTGGCCCTGAGATAATAACGACAACGCGCCGTGGATTGGTGATATGCACGTTTTTTTTTCTTATGCTATTTTTAATAACTTTCATTTGATGAGTTAGAAACTTATTCAAGAACCAAGTAATCACCATATTTTGATTAGTTTTTAATCAAAAATCTTTTCCTAATTTATTTCAGATAGCCACAATTGTCTTTTCGTCGGGTATAAAAGTATAGTGTGCACGCTTTTGCGATCAGTTCAGCAAATTCGTTACTCCCGACAAGGATCTCATACTGTGAAACAGCGCAAAGAAAGTCACAGCAAAAAGAGAAAACTATGAAGTACACGATTGGAGTGTGCCTGGTGTTGGCCGCCGCCTGCAATGCTGCTTTTCTTGACAAGCATGTTAACTTTCAACCATTCGTGGAGCTGCAGCATAAGGCCATGCGCTCATTGATCTCGGCCCATGCCAGCAACGATGATCCCAACTTGATCAACAACTGCTTCAACCAATATATCACGGACCAGATGAATGTTTTGGACAACTACAACAGAATCTACACGGGTTGCGTGACCACAGCCCAAAGTGAGAAGACCGAACTGACCGCCCAGAGTGCAGAGAGTCGCAAGGATCTGCTGTCCCGCAGCGATGGAATGTGCAGCAACCTCGGCTCCTGCGATTTGTTGACCGATGGTCTGGAGTTCTTCGATTGCTACCGTAATGCGGTAAGTATTTAAGCAAGTATATATGTATGTATCGGAATGTAAATTTCTTTTTTATAAATCGAATTTTTTACCAAACTAGTTTTCGAAGGAAGCGAACCAAATAATATTATTTAATAAATCCTTTGGTTCGATAGTTATGTCAAAAATGATTTGAGAAAAAGCTTTTACGCCAATTAATTCAGTTCAGTTTTATTTTTGGGTTAATATTACGGCTTGTAATATTTTCAGTAGAACAGACAATTTAATATTAATAAATCATTACAAATTATATGACATAGGTTTGAACCAACACCTTAATTCAAGTTTCACGAACCGATTATTGTTAGAAAGCTCGGATCGAGATGCTTATCAACGACATTTTTTTTATGGATTTGCAGCCCTAATATCGTTCCATTGTGATTGAAATTACTAAAACCAGATAAATATGGAAAACAACAGTACTTTAAAAAGGAATATTCTGATTCTTAGAAATTAATCTAAAATTTGAAAATGGATTGGATTAAAAGGCTAGCACCTGTCTAGATGTTTAAATAAATTATTTATATATTTATATTGTAAGCAGATTTCGTAATGTGATAGTTTATCATAAGAGAAATGTTCCATCATCATCAATTTAAAATTATATTATTTTTCAGTCCGCTGACAGCTACAAAGTGATGTTCACTTTGAACAGTGATGCGAACACCAGGTTCAATACGATTAGCACCAAATACGGTATCATCGATTCAGATCTAACTCAATGCGTAGATGAGGCCCGTCTGGAGTATGCGCGCGAGCTGGAGAAATGCGATTCGGACTTCAATAATTGTATTTCGGGTGGCGAAGAAACATCTGAACCAACAACTGATAAGCCAGTTGACTCTACACCAGTTGGGTCGACAACAGATATACCCATTGTTACTACCGATGCACCAGCCGTGCCTACTGATGCACCAGCCGTCTCTACTGATGCACCAGCCGTGTCTACTGATGCACCAGCCGTGTCTACTGATGCACCAGCCGTGTCTACTGATGCACCAGCCGTGTCTACTGATGCACCAGCTGTCTCTACTGATGCACCAGCTGTCTCTACTGATGCACCAGCTGTGTCTACTGATGCACCAGCCGTGTCTACTGATGCACCAGCCGTCTCTACTGATGCACCAGCTGTCTCTACTGATGCACCAGCCGTGTCTACTGATGCACCAGCTGTCTCTACTGATGCACCAGCCGTGTCTACTGATGCACCAGCCGTGTCTACTGATGCACCAGCTGTCTCTACAGATGCACCAGCCGTCTCTACCGATGCACCAGCCGTGTCTACTGATTCAACCATACCGCCTGTGAGCACAACAGAAAGAATGCCAGAGGAAGATATTCAATTGCTGCCACAGACCTTCAGGAGCGCTTTGGACAAGCTTAAGCGTTTTTTCTAAATTTGCGATGTATTGTAGAGTGAATGAGCTTTATTAATCAAGCGGAAGGCATACATAAATAAACGTTATCAAATGATAATTTATTAATAATTAAGTCATTAACATACTTGAATAGTTGCATACTTATAGGGTGCCAAAGAAATTATATTCATTCATTGAGCTTATCAATTGAATTTTGATTAGAAGAAAATACGTCTATAAACACGTATATATATATATATATATATATATATATATATAAGTATATATATATAAGTATTATTGACATGATAAGGTCGCAAGATAAACTTACACAGACCTTATATGAGGTTGCCATAAAAAGTTGCCTTGAAATCGATTTATTTCACTGTAACAACGGATCAGCTCTCATAACACACGACACATACCAGATAATGTCCGCCTATCAATTGATATGCCAATCTAAGTCTATATATGACTGTTGCCGTCGAACATTTACACTTGATTGCGAGAAATTAGTAGGAAACTTTCAATTAGATACCTTTTCAATAACACACTCGACTGTTGGCCGGCCGCTTGAGGCGCCATTCAAAATCTATAGCCAAATGTGTGCGGTACGAGTCGAGAACCAGTTGGGTTGCGAGACCAGACGTCGCCGGTGGCAGCTTTCCGGGCAGCTGGTGCTGCTGCTGCAGCTGCTACTGGCCATTTGCCTGCATGGGTCATGCGGCACAAGTGCGGACAAGACTCTGGGCATAGGCACACCCTGGCCAGACACCACACTCGATGACTGTCACGATGACTACATGCTGGCCAGTGAAAATGCCTCGAGCACCTTTTACAAAGAGTACGAGCTGTGCGAACTGGAGGCCACGAACGGGCAGCTCAATCTGACCATCAATGAGCAGCTGGAACGCGAACAAATCGAACTGGGACGCAGCCAGTTGTGTGGAAGTTTCGCGCAGTGTGATTCACATGACGACGATCTCGAGTACTTTGAGTGTATCAGAAATAATGTAAGTGCAATACTCTAACAAACAGTGGCAGAAAACTGTATGAGATTAAATTTGAAGAGCAGTAGGTTCAACATTTATAAAAATAATCTTTAAAAGCTTAAAGCTTTAAAGCTCGTAACAGCTTTAATATAGCTTTAATTTAGTACCACAACAAAACGGTTTTTACTGAAAGCTTACAGCTTTGCTCCACGAAGCGCAACAAGGAACTCTAAATTGATTATTTGATTTATATATATTTGTGCTTGACCAGAGCACAACTTTTAAGTCATTTAATAGTTGTTTTTTAAAGAACATAAAAAGCAAATAAATGCTTGAAATAAGTGCATATTTTGATGCTAAATATAATAAAATTATATGGAGTTAAATGCAGCTTTAATGGGTTGAAAAGGTGGATATTGCAAGCAGTTCTTTAAAAACTTAAAACTTATCAAGCCAAACAACTTTGATTATACTCTGCGTTTCCTTACCAGCGACAAGTTTAATCTAAGGCTCAAGCTTGACTTTCAGCTAGTGTTATTACAAGCATAACTAAACCATTTCCAATGCTTTTACAGGGCAACCGCAATCTGGACTTGATCACAGAGATTAATTACAATAGCACAAGCGCACATACACGCTTGCGCCAGGACTACGATACAGTTTATCAGACGCTGATGTTGTGCACGCTCGATGCAAAGGTGATGTATATAAACAGCATGCGTCGGGCGTACGAGGAGCTTCATGAATGTCGCAGCGAAGCCGACAACAGTGCGGACTGAACAATATAAACAATCATTAGATAGAATTTAGATATTTAGTAAAGCATTTGAAAGACTTTAATCTGTGGTTTTAGCAGAATTCGCCGCCAGCTGCAGGCATTTATCCAGCGCATCGAATATGCGCGCTGTGCCCAGGACATAGCTCTCCTCGGTGCGATTCGTGCAGAGATAGCGCTCCACATCGATGCCATTCAGCTGCTGTGTGAGACTGAGCGCATTCTCCGAGGCATTGAACGATATTGCATACATCGCGGCCAGCTGCTGTTTCGACTGGCAAATAATGTGTTAACTTGATGATAATAATCTATAAATAAGATTTGGCCATTTGTCGACCTACCAACTTGGCGAAGCAGTTGAAATAGTCCAGGACATTCGTTATACTCAGGCAGCTGTCTATGTAGCTGTCTATGCGCAATGCCGCCTCCCGCATCAGATTTTGCTCGCCACCCAGCTTGCTCAGCACGGTGTCTCGCACTGTGTCCGCTTGCCGCTGGCAGCCACTGTACGCCGTTGACCAGTTGGCGCCCACTTGCTCCAGCTGCGGCAGATAGCTGGCAAAACACTTCTTCGTATTGCCCACTCCGGCCAAATCGTGGCTCTCCAAATAGGCTGTCAGGCTGTTCAGGCTGCGCGGTTCTTGCGCGAGCTGCAAACTCTTTTCTAAAGTCAATTTTCCAATCCCTTAAATTTTTAGGTATTTTTTTTTTTACCAGCAACTGCGACAGCAGCAAAGTTATGAATACGATTTTCATGTCTGTTTTGGTTAGTGGGCAACGTAGTACTGCAAACTGCTGTTAAGGTTCAAGGCATAGGGCTTATTGGTTAATATGACATTGATTCATGGTTTGTTTGTTTACGTTTAGTCGCTGGGCTTGTTCTTATCGCGACATTTGCAAAATAGAGAAGAAGCTCAGTGCTGGTCAAACTGTAATAACTGAAAATGTGAGGCATACTTTTCTATGCGCCTGTAGCTGCTTGAATTATATGACAAAATAGTTGAATGTATACATAAACATTAAATTCAAGTAAAATTTAATAAAAACAAAAAGAATTTCAAGAAAGAATGTCAAATTAAGTGATTTTTTGATATATACATATTTTTTCTAAGTATAAGCAACCAATAAAAATCGCTTTTATCGTATATAAACTGTTTATTAATTTGATAATAGCGAAGCGCTTAAAATGAACTCTGAACTCTAACATGCTCGCTTTACTTTTTTATGTTGGATGACGCTTGCAATTTTTAATAAGTTAAAGCTTTGCTAAGGGGAATCCAAGAGTAGATAAAAAAGTCTTCTGATTCAACCCGGAAGCTTCCTGAAATTTTCATACGGAATAATGCGAACATCTTGGATTTATGCCTTGTTAATAGTTGGTCACTTTGTGATTTTCTATTCTTTTCTTTTTATTATTATTGAAAATTTTAGCTTATATTTGGATGATATTATTTCTTTAAATGTTGAACTATTTATTTAATTTCCTATTATCCATTTAAATATTCCTAGATATTTTTAATTTTAAGTTTTGAAGGAAATAATTTTTGATTTTGAAGGAAGTTGCAATAAAGTAGCATTGCTTGGATAATTCTCATAATTTATTATGTTTATTTTTATAATTATAACTTTATGACAACTTTCTTCATGTATAATAAGTGAAATTTTTATGAATATAAATATGTATTGAAAAAATTTTGATCTTTTAGTATTTTATTCTATTGATTTATTCTTATTATGGAAAATTATATGTATTGCGGTTTGTCTAGTCCAATCATATGCAATCATATTTACCATTAAATAGCCGACACCCCAGCTAAATATGTCTCAGTAGGATTAAGACTGGGCAATTATCGAGAATGTGCTGTGGAGTTTTCTTTTTTGTTATTAATATATACGTTAATTATCGGTGCACGAATATTCATATTCAATATCCAATGTTGACTACAGTTGCTGACGTGTAACGTCACATTTTTGGCATAGTTTCGATTATTTATGATTGCGATAACACACAAAATGCCAAAGCCGATAAGCCAAACAATCGAGTTGTAGACAAATTGGCGCATATATTGGCTTAATATTTCATTAGCCAGGCTAACCGTACAGCCATACAGCCGTACAGCTCGGCTGTAATAAGGCCGAACCTGTGCAAGGAGCTATCAGTCGAGCGAGTGGGGCGGGTATCTATTTTTGGTGTACAGGGTCATAGCTTTATGTGGGCGTTACGTGGGCATCACAAATGCACATGCAAAGCAATTTGAGGGCTCTGGCATAAGTCGTTTTGCGTTGCCGTTTGGGTCGACTTAATGCCACCTAATTGATCGGCGGCCGTAACGGGCTTCACACCTTTCACCTGATGAGGCAGCTATTTTGGTTGCTAGACGCAATTTGACAACAAATTCACTTGCGAATGCATCAATCATTCCCGAACGACCGAACACGATTTGGACTGTATATAAAGCATTAGCGCCAACTGTGGGCCATGTCCAGTACTTGACGAACCAGAGAGAGCCTCAACATGAAACTACTGTGCAGTGTGCTAATTCTGGCCAGCGTGGCCCTCCACATCCAAGTAATTGAGCTGGGCCACTGGGCCAAATAAAATAATCAGTTAAAGCAGCATTTGTTTTGTTTTAACAAACCGTAGGCCAAGCCGAGTTCAGTGCAAACGCAGCTGCAGGGCGCCCTGGATAAATATCTGGTGCAAGCGAACAACTTGGATATGGTCTCCGCAGACGTGACCTCTCAGTGCTTTTCCCTGTATCTGCCCATGCTGAATGAGGTGGCTGCCACGTTCTCCAGCTCGTACCAGACCTGCATTAGCACATTTAACGAGCAGCTGGCCAATTTGACAGCACAAGCCCAAAAGGATCAGGTCGTCTATCAGCAGGATGTGAGCGGCTTGTGCAGCGCCTTCACCAACTGCGACAACACCACCGGCAATGACACCGCCAGCTTCTTCAACTGCTACGCGACTGCGGTAAGTGGAAACTCCTGAAAGCACATCGTTTGCACATTAAACAGCAAATATTCAAATCACCAATGTTCAGGCCCAAGGTGATGTCTCGGTGATCTATGACATTGCCACCAATGCCGCCAACACGGCCAACACTCTCGCCGAGGCCATGAAGGCCAACCAGGACACGGAATACCAGTGCACCAATACCACCGAGAGCAACTATGTGCGCGACACGGCTGCCACATACGATCTGCTCGACAGTTGCCTGAAGAACGGTGTGCCCACCACTTCGTCGGCTGCACCCTCCACCACCGTGGCGCCCCTGAGCACCCAGGGTGTCCAGAGTACTACCCAAAGTCCTGCTACAACTGTTGCTAACGTTGTTGCCAGCTCGCCCGCTGCTAGCTCAGCGGCTCCAGTTGTGATTGCCTCGACGGCAGCCACTGTCTAAATTCGGACTGCGTTCTGTTTGGCAGCCAATCAACAAATATATGAGCATTTATCAAAAAAAGAAGAAAAAACAGTTTATTTTGGTCTAGATTTCGTTTTCCTATGTTTATGTCAAGGTTATTGTTAGTTGACAGGACATTGCATTTGACAAGTGGTTCGATAGCGTTTTCTATATCTCACACTGCCTTCAAACGCTTCTTCTTTTTCTAAAGAAGTTTCCAAATCAGCAACTTATTCCAATTGTGTGCACATGTGGCAACGCCATGCGCATAAATTGGCAACTCTGCAGCGCATAAATTGGCAACTTCAGCTGACAAGCGACTAGAGGAATTGCTGAATTCAGTTAAAACTGTCAATGAGCTGTCAGTTGATAGTTCCTTTTGTTGTAAAAATGTTCCTCAAAACTGTCACTGCAGGGTGGCAACTCTGTCCTGTCACAAAGCTAGAGAAGTTATCTGTTTAATTTAGACAGGCACTCACAAAAGTATATTGTTAGCATAGAACATTTGAGTTTGATTGAATCGCATGTCAAACTGATTGTTAACTTTGACAGCTGCATGCGAAAATATGGCTTTCGAAATCAATTTTATATTAATATTAATTACATTCATTTATATTAAATTATATTTAGTTCATCCTCATAAATTGAGCATAAAATTTAATATTCATCAATGTATAATTTAATATAGCATTGATATTAACTTTAAATTGAACTTATCAATTAAATTGAAAATAAGACGCTTTTTGGAACACACCCCTACGCGCTGACCTAACGTACGCTTTCAAAATCAAATAATCCCACTACTTAACTGCTGTTTACAGCTATTTCAATGTACACCTGCCAAAAAATCTAATCAGTGCCCCCCAAAAAAAAAAGAACCGAAATACCAACTGACCGTTGAAATTTAATTATCGTAGGATCTATTCACTGTTGCTATTGACTACTTTTTTTGGCTATAAAAAGCGCGGACTCGGTAGGCATTCCACTCAGTTCGAGTTGTGTCCGCGAAACGTTCAACATGAGATTCATTGGAAGTGTCTGCCTGCTGGCCATGGTCATATTTCTGCTAGCCAGCGTGAATGTAATGAGAATTGACTAGCCAAAAGCTGTCGCAGCCATGTTTAATTTTACCATTGTACAGGCGCTACCAGTCCAAGTGCAGTGCAATGATGGCAGCAATGGAACTCATACCCAGACCTCGGCAGATGGCCAACAGACGCAGACACAAACTGGACCCGGCTGCCAAACACAAGTCTCGGGAGATGGACAGCAGAGCCAGAGCCAGAATCAAACAGGCAATGGCACCCAGACCCAAACACAGTGCAGCGGCTCCGATTGTGCACCACTGCCGCCCCTCTTCACCCTGAAGCCACTCGAATGGAACACCATGAAACCCCTCGAATGGAACACTTTTGCACCAATGCAGCCGTGGAATTAGATACAGACTTTGGCATGCCTTACATCTGTCTGAATTCCTGACTTCGTTGAATATACACAAAATATGATTTAATTCTCGACTTACTTTAATCGACCTTGAGACAAGCTTTATAAATGATTATAAAATTTAGCTATCATAGAGATAGTTACCAACAATTATTTAGCTCGCTTCAAGCTGTCATAAGTTGAGCTTTAAGCTGTCAGCAGATATAATTGTATTCAATTAATAAAATAAATCTAGTTTAAGGCTGTCAAGCCTTGAAACGCTTTGTCAAATAGTTTTAATTCACTTTTTTTTTTGACAAATGGTATGCAAATCCAAATAAATGTATTTTAATTATTGGTTGCCACGAACAATATTCGACAACTAGCAGAGCTTTATTTTTATTAGTTTTCATAAAGCTTCCTTAAAGCAACACATTTTGAAACCATTTTTGAGCCCGAGTTGACAATTGCTTGTTATAAAATTTAATTTATTATATTCAACATTGCTTAAAGGTGTTGTAAACTTAATTTAATAAGGAAACACTGAAAATAGCTTTTCGTAATGGTTGGTTGAATTTGTGATAAGGGTTTAACAGTCAAGGATCTTAGGGAGCATACATATTGGTGTGGAAAGTGATGGGGGGAGTAGATGGGCATGTGCTGAAGGCGTCTTGGACTCGACTCGACGCATTTGAATGTCATATTTATAAGCATATTTTGTCTCGCTCAAATCAGCGATTGTTATTTTGGTTTTATTAGAAAACATCTTAACCATCTTTTTGCCTTAAAGCTCTTTATATAAAATAATAATAATCTTCTTTTTTTATGCGCTGCTTAAAATCTGACAAACTGCAGCTGAGATCCTGTCTACGACTTCTACTGCAGCTGTCCAATTGCAATTGTTTGCATAACAGAAACTGCCCCGCTTACTCTCGCCCTGTCTCCTCCAAGAACTCTTCCAGAATTTCCTGCAGCGAAGTGGTGGAAAGTGTTGCATTAGGTTTTGCAGCAAGTTGCGCCTGCGGCTAATGCAATTTTTCGCTGCTGCGCATATAAAACTTTTTAATGCCCCCCAACTTTTGGCCAAAGAGCTGCGCCGTCTGCTCGACATCAAGAGATTTCGGGCAACTGCATCCGCTGATGTGCCATGTCAGCGTGTGCAAATAATTGTGCATAAGCGCTACAATAATCAAAGCCAGACATGGCTCGGATATAGAGAGGGAGACTGCTTGTTTGGGTGGATGGAGGCAGTTCCAGTTCCGAAACTGGTTCCAGTTAGCTGCCAGCCGTGTCGTGTCGAAGCCAGCTGGCTCTTAACTCATTTTCTGATTAAAATCTTGGCCATTAAGCGCGCGCGCGCTCAAATCGGACTTAACTTTTTTAATGGCACCGACAATAGTTGCGCCTGGTACCGTGCCGTGGCCTGTTCGCTGAGATAGACAGGCCGCAAAGGGACGCGCGAAAATTGGCGCCTGCAATGAACGACATGGCGCTGAATTCGGGCTAAAATTAAATTAAAACTGTCGTGCAAAATGGGCGAGAAAAAACACAAGAAGCACCAGAAGCCAGAAGAAGTTGAAACTGTGAAAATATTTGCGCCCGCTGCTCCGCTGGCCGTGTTATTTTTTTTTCATTTTAAAGGAGTCCGCAGCTCCAGCTGTCAGCGCTGCCAGAGCAACGATGTCAATTAGTTTTTCAAACGGGACGACCTGCCCGGCTGCCGCCCACCACACTACACCGCGCCGCGCCGCACCGCTCCGTTTGGCTCAACTCAAGTTGGCTTTAAGTTAATTGCATAAGATTTCACTTTGCACTTGCCGCTGGCCTTGGCGGGGGCAAGGGCGGATTGGCTGTTTCCTTCCGCCTGCCGCTTGTTGTCGCCATTTTTTAATCAAGTTAAAAGTTATTTTTAAATGAAGTGCGAACAATATTCAAGTGCACTGCAAACATTGCGCCTCGCCCCTTTATCTATCTGCATTCCCATAAATATATCTGCATATTATTGCCTTTTGCCTGGTCGAACTAATTAAAATCACATTTTTTTGCAGTCGCGCGTTTTTGTTTCCGAGCCAAGACTTGACAAATGAATTGTAAATTAATAGAAATACTTATGAACAGCGTGAATTTTTATTGCGGCCCTATAAACGCGCAATGTGCTGTCTGTGACATCACAATATGATTTATATAGAAAAACATTCTACGAGCACATCACGAGATATCATTTACGCACGGTTTTTTTTATTATTTTTTTTTTCTTTTTGCATATCACGATAAGATAACAGGTAAACGAGCTACTTAGGTGATAAATTAAGCTATTGGTGGACGTACTGAATAGGCAATACCCTTGCTGTCAGAATATCGATAAATTAAATATAAAATGTAATGGATACTTGAAAAACTGTCAAATCGGTAAACTATATATAAATTAAATTGATTCCTGAATTGGGAAGATCTTTGCTCGATAAGGCATATATAAATCAAATTGATACTAGAATTGGGAAGACCCCTAGTCGAAACTTATCGATAAACTGAAACTAAATTGATTGATATCGAGAGAGAAGAACTCGATACACAGAGAGAAGAATTCCAGTTTCTCAAACTGAAAGAGCCTCAGCAAGTCTCATTGATCTATGTCGACCCACAGCGCACAGCTTATTTGGAGACAATTTAAATGCCTCTATAAACTCAATTACTCATCCTCATTAAAAGTGAATGTTTTTTTTATTTCTATGTGAATGGGAGTGTCTAGTTTCAGGCGCTCTAGCCCCTTCAACTGAATGCAAGCCTGTAAACAAAGTACTTTTGCTGTGAACACAGACATTAAATTGTTCTTGGCAAACTGTAGAGCTATGAAGGCCACTCGAAAAATCAAGCTGTTTGCTATGTTGAATTGAGTGAGTTAAGCTTTTAGCTGCAAGTAAACCTCTTTTTCTTACACTTAAAATAATAAATAACGCTTGAAGCTCGTAAATGATTCAATAGCTGTGCTCTCACACAGCTATAATGCTGTCTCGCTGACACAATATTAAATGAAAGAATGCCATGAAAAAAATCAAAATAGTTCAATAAACTCTACACATAACTATGAAAGCAAAAGGTCACCTAATAAAAATAATTCAAACATAGGGTGTATATTTAAAGCGTTAAATGAGATTGTTCTTACAAAATGTGTTCCATTTAAAGCTTTAATACACTGTGACACTTTAATAACAAGCGCTTTGAGCTTTGAGATTGACATCAATGAAAAGAAATAAATCCTATATATTTATCTCGTATATTAAAGATATATTAATTTTTTGGAGCTTTAATTAAAGCTCTTAAAGCTATTTTTTCAAATTCGTGCAGAATATAGCGAAACAATTCAATAGCTTTTGCTTGATTTAATAAGTATTTGTATTGCCTTTTGATGATTGTATTTATTTAAATGAAATTAATTGAATTACAGGGTATTCAGAGGTTGGTCATTATGTGTTTGTTCAATACGTTTAGGATGCGTGCTCGCCACGCTTGTTGAATTTCATTTGTCATTAGTTAGATCTCTTTATATTTTTAACAAATTATCTTTGCTGGCAAAGCAGACAAGCACAGCACAACCACACACATACACATTCCCACACACTCGCACACACACACACACACACATACATACTAACCAGTAATTGTGGGTGCTTTACACCTGCAAAGCCGTTGATTGATGATGTGAGCAATTGATAATGGGAGACCAGCCAAGCGGGTGGCGCGCGCGTGAGTGCTGGGCGGTGGCTACGCTAATTGGCGCCACAGTCGCTTAGGGGCGGGTTGGGGGTGTGTCATGCTGGGGGGTTTGGGCTGCTTAAAAATGTAAAGCATGCTTTCGCCTCATTATAGTTGTTTTGTTTTATGTTTTTTTTTTTTCGTTTATTTCTGGCGTATTGTATTTACAGCAGAGTTTTTTGTCGCCTCTTTTTTTTTTTGCTGCCAGGGCTAATTGAGCGCTTAAAGCGGATTTCGACGCGCGTTTTACTTGTATTTTTTTTTTTAAGTTTTTCCTCTCAGGTTGTTCTTGTTTCAGCATGCCTTCTAATTAGAGCGTCTAAAGTTAATTGCAATTTGAGGCACTTGACGCGACAGTTACTTTGGCTTGTCACGTTTTTAAGCACAGACGACTTCATTGACAGCATCAGCAGAAGTTGTAGTCGCGCGATACGCGGCTACGTGTTGGATTGAGATAAAGGGGTAAAGAAATGTAATACTCTCTCTCACTGTCTGTCTCTGTTGAGTTGTCAGTTGGTGCCTGGCTGGAAAAATTTTCTAATTTTCTACTGCAGTGATTTGGCATGCAGAGTGGTTCTGCGAGACTGCGACTTCTGTCTCTTCAGAGTCTCTCTGACTGGGACTCTGACTCGATTTCGTGTTTGCGGACTCTGGACTCGTTTCACTGATTTATGCGCATCAATAAGTTGCCCAACTGCGATACTTAGGCGAAATGTGCCGCAATGAGACGTGGACAAGCAGTACGACCAGCACAGGGAGCTCAGCTGGAGTACGGAGCTGGGGTGAGGAGCGGGCAAATACCAGTCAGCAGCAAGCACGTTCGCCTGCAGCAGATGCTTCTGCTCCTGCTCCTCCTGTTGCTGCAGCTGCCATGGCCAAAATAATGATTTGCATTTTGCATTTTCAGTTTTCCGATTTCGATGTGCGATTTGGTTTTAGCTGCGGCTCTCCTATTTCTTTGCTTTCTTTGCGTGGCCGTTCCCAGCAGCATTGAAAGATATATGGGCTCAAGTCGTTGGCCACATAAAAAATGGCAAAACTTTGGCGCCGCCGACTGTGGCCGAGCCAAAGTTTTTTAAAGCGGGCGCTAATGAGACGCCGCCATGCGCACGCCACAAATAAAAAATATCCAGAGAAGTCAGAAAAAAGTGGCTGCTAGATACCCCTTGTTCTGCATGCGTCTAGACTTTTTAATAAATAGTTAACTTTTAATTTTTAAATAAATTTCTATTGCAAATGCGGCCCACGTTGGGCGCCATCCTCTACCTTTTGCTGATCTATGCTTTGACTGATGAGACCCACGCTGGGCGTCGTATTCTACCTTTAAGTAATACAGTCTATGTCTAAAATGTAT